AGCTCGTGTGGGACATGAAGCGCCACAACGTGCCGCAGACGCCGATTTTGCGCACGCACCTCCTTCACGTACTCGTCCTGCTCGTCGTCGTCGTATAAACACTCGGTGACAGGTTTACGCCCGGGCCCAAGTCAAGGCCGTTGTGCGCCTCGCACGCTCCAACATTGCGCCGCCCGAAGCCGTCAACCCAATCATCCAGGAGCGCACTGAGTTTGATGACGAGGGCAAAGTCATCGACCTCGACCGGCCAGGCCGCCAAGAGTACGATTTTTTCCTTTTCAACGATCGTATGTCTCACCCTGTGATAGCGTCTACTCGGACGACAACATGGGCTACGACGAGGACGACTGGGAGGGCGAAGAGGACCTCGACTGGGACGAAAGCGGTGAAGTAGGATCCGTCGAGCGCGTCCGCGGCCTCACGCCAACCGAGCGCGACGAACTTGAGCGCTACCTTCGGCCCCACCGCACCAAGGCTCAAGAAGAGGCGGACGAGGCGGATGCACTCCTTGCCATGGACCCGGACGACGTAATGCGCGACATGGACCCGCTGAAGTACAACCCTGTGGACCTGGACAATTTTACGTCGTTCCAGGAAGACAATATCGCTACGGCCCAGCGCATCTATGACGACGCGCTCGAGGCCAATGGGCCCTCCACTGAGCTTCTCAATGCCGCGCTTAGCGTGCTCACGAACGCCCTGCGCATCCAGCGCGCGCTCGACTTTGTCGCTACCGAGTTTCCCAAGCACGTACGACTCTCACTGAAAACGTCTCCATCATTGACGCCAAACGTAGGACCTCGCGCCGGACGCACTCACGTACAGAAGCCTCATGCGCATGTTTTTGCGCGCCAAGCGCATCAAGCGCGCCGAGGCGCTCATCGGCGAGGCAAAGGCCGCTGGCGTCGCACCTGATGCCGACTTTTACGGATACCTCGTCGACTACTATGCCCGGCAGAACCGTCTGCGTAGCGCGCTCTCGACGCTCGAAGAGATGGACCGTCTTGGCCTGAACCTACACCCCAAACTCGCGTACAACCTGCGCAAACTCACGCAAAAGTACCGCGTGTACACTGAGCTGCTTGACGAAGACCCCAACGCGATTCACGCCATGAGCCACCATGGGCTCATGACCATGCGCAAGGAGCGCGCGCGCCAGATAGCGGCCAACCGCGCTGCGGGCCGCAAGTTCTTCATTCCGCGCCGCTCCGACGTTTAAAGATATGTATAGATTACGTAGAGAATGATGATATAATGCACAAGCGATTCAACAAGCACGCTCGTTGGTGTCGCAGCAGTTGTGGCTTGGCACGATTAGGCCCAGACCTTGAGCAATGTGTCCCAACTGCCCGTGCAGAGTGCCTGCCCCGTCGGGCTCACCCTAGCATATTGTCAGACGGACCCATGACATCGCGATGCTGCGTACCCGAGGCACGACACGCGGTTCTCGTGGCCCGTGAGCTGGTACACGTGCTGGCCCGTGTTGCTGAGTGTGTCCCAGCAGTAGCAGTTGTAGTCGTCGTAGCCCGCAAAGAGGAACCGGCCAGACTTGGAGAACGACACACTCGTGATACCGCATAGGATCTTGTCGTTCGAAAAGTTGTTGACCTCGCCATACGCACGTAGGTCAAAGAGCCGGCAGCTCGAGTCGTCCGAGCCCGTGCCAAGCGCCGTGCCGTTGGGGAAAAAGTCGACCGAGTTGATATCCGACTCGTGGCCATGGAATGAGTGCGTGACCTTGCCCGCGCGCAAGTCCCAGACCTTTCAAGCACGCGTGTAGTTCACCGTAATGTGAGGCGAGTAGCACCTTGGCTGTTGAATCGCACGAGCCAGAGATGAACATGTTGGGATGAAGCGCGCTGATGGCCACCGACATGACGTCGCCTGTATGGTCCTTAAAGGTCGTCTTGACCTCGCCCGACTCCACATCTAGAGTGGACACATCGTGCGCTTTTCTGCTTTCAATCTTAATTCGTACCCCAGAGGATGCATGTCGAATCTCCCGAGCTCGTAATAATGTTGGTCTCGTCGATAAAGCGGCAGCAACTCAAGTAGCCATCGTGGGCTGCAAGTTCCTTCGCGGCTCGCATGACCTGTGCTTGCCTACATTAACGTGAGGCCACGGGGGTCGACGGTGCCAATGCCATACCCTAGGTGATAGATGGAGCAGAGGTTGTCGAGACCGCCGCATGCCACCATGTTGCGCTGCTTTTGCTCGTACGCGCAGGTCATGACCCAGGACGACCGCAGCGGAATGGCCTGGACCTTGTTGGTCGTCATGGCGTTCCAGACGATGAGCTTGCCGTCCTGAGACGCGCTGACAAGGCTGGACGAGTCGCCGCCCCACTGCATGGCGTAGATTTTGCCAAAGTGGCCCTTGAGCACGCGGCGGCACTTGGGCGCAGCCGGGATCGCCTTGGTGCCGTCATTCTCAAAGCCGCCGTTGGACTTTTGGCTGCGCACCGCCTGGATCTTGTCCTTGAGGCCCTCGCACTTCTTCTTGAGCTCCGCGACGTCGCCCATCGTCTTCTCTTCTTCGG